GGGGTGGAGTGGGTCGAGTGGGTGGTTTGATCGATGTATAGACAGACACTTTCAGCTGATTGGGAGGGGTGGGTGGGTTACAATGCATGGCGGATGCTACCAAGACATGCGATGCTTGCTTTGGTAGTGCTGGCTAACGCTGTGGCTAAGATGGCGTGTCTGTGTACCCCTGTTTTTCTTGGGACCTTTTTGCTGGTCGGTTGGTTCGTTGGTTGGTCGGTTGGTCTTTTCCTCGTGTGTCACAGCAGCGGGCGCATTTTTGTCCGTTGTTTCTTGAGTGTGTCTCTGTGTGCAGCGAGTGGATGTCTGGTGACTGAAGTGACGCTATCATTCAGGTGACACGGCCGTCGACTGAGAGTAAACCCCACGTATGTGTCCCATCTGGCATGGAAACACGTCTCTGCGGAATATAAAATGTAGGCAGCGATGAAACCACAGGCACACCCGCGGCACGAAGACACCCACACACTCCCTCCCCCCACCCACGCCCAGCAAGCCCTTCACTACGTCACTACGTCACTGCAGCACACACACACCACATGAACTGCCGCACGCAAATCAACGCCCCCAGACAGACAGACAGACAGACAGGCGGCGACTCTCACTCCAGTCAGTAGAGGGGCTGTGCCGATCTTGATCTTCTTGCTGGGCCGCTGGAGCTCCTGCTCGGCCTTGCGCACGTTGTGGCTGCGAAGTTGGTAAGGTGACACTGTGACGTCAGCAGCAGCAGCAGAGGTGGCAGCCCCCGTCTTGCCTACATGACAGAACACACAACACAGCACAGCACAATGGTGACCGCACCCACTCACAAACCCCCCCTCTCTCTCCTTGTCTGTCTGTCTGTCTGTCTGTCCTGTTCCCCCTCCCTCTCGCCCGCCCTCGCTTACGTTGTGGCTTCTTGGCTTTCGGCTTGGGCTCGGCCTTGGCTTTGGGCTTGGGCTTGGCCTTGGGCTTGGGGGTGGTGTCCGCCTTGAGCTTCTTGCTGGCGGGTGGAGATGCCGCCTCGCTGTCTGCCTTGCGCTTGCGGCCACCACGCAACTCACGGTGGGCCCCACCGGCGGCAGCCGCAGCAGCAGGACCGGACTTGGCCTTCGCCTTCCCCTTGGCCTTCGCCTTGGGCTTGGCCTTGAGGGCCTTGGTGGTCTTCTTGACTGGCGCGCGTCGCTGGCGCTTGACACGCGGCACCTCATCCTCCTTATCCTCCGTCTTGACGGCCGTCTCCTCCCTTTTGGTTTGCGCCCGAGTGCGGGGGCGATGGGCAGTGGAGGGGGCAGCGGGGGCTGGTGGTGGTGGTGGGAGCAGTGGAGGTGGTGGGCCAGGGGGAGGCGCAGGGAGCGGTGGCTGCTCCTCCTCCTCGACAGGGGGGGCCGGTGGCTGCTCGCCCTCCTCCTCGCCGTTCTCCTCGCCATGCTCATCATCAACAACACCGCCCAATGGCTCCAGGGGGGGAGGTGGTGGGCCAGGGAGAGGCCCCTCCTCCTCGCCCTCCTCCTCGCCGTTCTCCTCGCCATGCTCATCATCAACAACACCGCCCAATGGCTCCAGGGGGGGCGTCTTCACCCCTGCCGGGGGGACGATCGGTGGTGGGGGCACCTCAGGAGGTGCACCAGGTAGGTGCTCGCCCGCTGCCGGCTCGGTCAGGTCGACGACCGGAGCAGCAGCAGCTGCTGCTGCTGCAACAGCCTCCTCCTCAGCTTCTTGGTCCGTGAGGTTCTGCGCTCCTTTGCGCTTCTTTGAGGCCGGTTTGCTGCCGCCTCTGCTGTGGCTGTCGTCCTTCCTCTTTCGCTGCCGAGATGGAGGGGTGGGAGGGACCTCGAGTGCCGCAGCAGCAGTGGAGGTGGTGGCTGCTCCTCCTCGTCAGCATCAGGGGCTTCCGGCTGTGCCTCCGCGTCGTCAGCATCGGGGGCTTCCGGCTGCGCCTCCTCCTCGTCAGCATCGGGGGCTGCCGGCTGCGCCTCCGCGTCGTCAGCATCGGGGGCTGGTGGCTGCTCGTCCTCCTCCTCAGCAGGGGGGGCTGGTGCAGCTGGCTCACTGCCATGCTCATCATCAACACCTTCCACGACAGGGGGCGTCTTGACCTGGCGTCGCTCTTGATCAGCGCCCGCAGCTCCCCCATCGTCATGGCCTCCAGATCGGCGACATCTGCGTTGTTTGGACCAAGGGAATGACACCAGTGGCCGACAGAAAAGCATCCATCCATTTACCATCACCCAACTCACTCTCTCCTTTCTGTTCTACTTACTTACCGATGGCCGCAGGCGGCGGCAGCAGCAGGCCCGAAGCGAGCATGGCATCGAAACAAGAGACCTCAGGATATAAAATGTAGTCAGCGATCGCTCCATTGACCTGCACACCGAGACACACAATCAACGGCCGACGACTGCTTTCAACTCTTCTTCAACAAGCCACCTTGTCGCCTCACCTTTCGTCGATCGCAGCTTTGGCTGTTGCTCATTCTGTCCCGAATGTCCGCTCCAACAGCAGCGGCCGTATCGTTGCTGCAGCTCCACCAGGCAGCTCTTTTGAAGCAGGCGCACACAGGGCATGAGAGCAAGAGTCTTCAAAATATAAAATGTCGGCAGCGATTGACGACCTGCCCAATGGCAGACAGAGACACAGTGAGGGCGTGTGGCTGTGAGACATGATGTTACCAAAGCTTTCCTTACCGATGGTCGTCTCCTCAATCTTGCCAGCCCCCCGCATTTCTGATCTCCTCCCTGACCTTGTCCTTGGTCCTCTCAGGCCCGCCTGTCTTGATGTGCTCGAGCCTGCCAGTGGTGTCTTGATGTGGTCGAGCAGCTTCCCCATGGAACGTCATACTTGCCATCTTCTCAGCACCACTTCATCTTCTGCCGCTCCTCAGCCGTCTGCTACCCGTCTCCAGTGCCTGTTGGCCACGCGAATGAGCAGGGAATTACCGTCCCATCAGGGAAGACCCAATCGCCGGTCAGCATGTTGATTGATGGGATGGTTATCACACGCTGCCCGCCACTGATGGTTGTGGAAGAAATCTTGACCTTCACAGGAAGGGCGGGTATTCTTCCCAGGAAGGCGGAGGGGGCAGCGACGAGGCGGCGTGCAGATGAACACGGGCCGACGTCTTGTTGCGGAGCTGCAGCAGACGGCGTGGCGACTCGATGTCTCTGGCGTTTTGGGTGAGCAGTGCGAGGGATTCGTTGTGCTTTGGTGAGCGGCGTTTTCCTTCCTCCGGTGCGCTTGGTGCCCTAGACAGGAAGACGCCCGTCCGGCGCGAGCCCTGTAGCGCCTTGAACGAAGCTCCCTTCGTCGTGGCGTCGGCCGACACTGGCTTGAATGCTGCATTCAGCTCCTCTTGGGCACGCCGCTTCAGGTGTTGTTGCATACTCTGCTTTGTTTGGCGTCTGTCAACTCTTTCTGCACCTAATTCAGCTGCTGAACAAACAATAACACGCAGGATGCCTGCACTCGTGGTCCCTGTCTGAGCGTGGTCTCACATACCCATGGCAGCGCCTTGAGCAACCTTTTCGGCATCGTCCGTCGAAACAAATGGCGGTGGTCGTTGGTGGGGCAGCAGGCCCGAAGCGAGCATGGCATTGAAACAAGAGATCCCGGGATATAAAATGTAGTCAGCGATCGATCTGTCGACCTGCACACCGAGACACACAATCAACGGCCGAGGCCTGCTTTCAACTTTTCTTCAACAAGCCACCTTGTCGCCTCACCTTTCGTCGATCGCAGCTTTGGCTGTGGCCGACCGTTTCCCTCGCACTCAACACCATTAGCAAAGCGGGCGCACGCCACATGGACAAACTTGTTCCTCTGTGGGGGGTGAGCGGGGCCCTCCCTCTCCCTCTCCCTCTCCATGTCTCCAACATCACCGTCAGGACCGTATCCTCCAGCTGCTGCTGCCGCTGCTGCTGCGGCGGGTGGGAGGAGAGGTGGGGGTAGGAGTGGGGGTGGCAGGGTTGCGGGTGCAGGCGATGGGCCGAGACCAAGGCCACCAGCCAGGTCGAGGCCGAGACCTCCTGAAGGAAACGGTCCGCCCGCGGTCGAGAGAGGGGTGGCATGGGCAGCATGTCGGGATGCTGCTGCGGGTGTGGGTGTGGGCGCCGCCCGCCACTCGCTCTCCTCCTCAAATGAGTGGCTGGGCGGCGCCATCCACCAGGTCCCGCACTCGAGCTGGATCTCCAGCCCCAGCCGCTCAGGGTGCGAACAGAACAGCAACTCGTACGCACCCAGCGGCGCGTCGCCGATGGTCGGCACGTCAAACACCTCATCATACGCAGGGGGCACACGCTCGCGCGACGACTGACGAATCCCACACACACACACACACATGAACACAGGGACTATCGCGCCCCCCTCACTCCCCTATATGTGTGTGCGAGGTGGCGTACCTTTGCCTCTCCATCCTTGGGCGCGAGCACGCTGGGCGCCTTGAGCGGTGTGGTGAAGAATCCGCCCCACGGCGGCTGCAAGGTGTTGAGCGTCACGACCCGCACTGTGGGTGAGGGCGGGGGCGATGCCGTAGCAGCGGGGATGGACGTGCACACGGCAGGTGGCACACTCAATTAGCGGCTCCTCTGTCCCACCCTGACCACACATAACACACACAACACACATGACAACCACCCTCGATGTGTGTCTGTGTGTATTGCCTGTCTGGCCTGCTCTCTCCTCCTGGCTGACTGACCTTGAGGCAGACGGCACAGATGTTGGGAGCGTATGTGTCGGGTTTCAGAACGAGGCCCCAGGCACGAAAGCGTCATTGGCGTCAGGGCAGCATTATCTGCGTTGTTTGGACCGAGGGAATGACACCAGTGGCAGACACAAAAGCATCCATC